AGTGAAAGTGATTATGATGAAGAATTTGTTGTGAGTAGGGCTGGTTCAATCATGTGAAAGTGAGAGCAAATTTACGTAACATTAAAGGGTAAGTACGACGGCACATAACAACAACAACAACAACAACAGGTTGTCCTTAATTCAGAAGTTCTTAACATAGGGACTTTTTGTAATGAGTAGCATAGTGGCTAAGACACTTGCCTGCTAACCAGACGGCTGGCGGTTCAAACCCACAAGCCACTCCTCAGAAGGAAGGTTGGGCAATCCTACTTCCGTAGTGATACTGCCTCGGAAACCCAAGGAGGGGTTGCTATGAGTCGGGGCCGTCTCGACGGCACATGACAACAACAACAACAGTGCTGCTCTAACAGGAAATATCACAATGAGATGGCTTGAACAAACAGGAGTTTATTCTCTTTCAGTTTTGGAGACTAGAAGTCTGAGTTCAAAGTGTCAGGCTCTAGGGGCTGGGTGAAAGCCCTTCGACCTTGGGCTTCAGCTCTGTCTCTTGACTCCCAGCCCACTGAACCTGAAGGCTTTCTTCACGCAGGCAGCTGCTGGCTGCTGAGGCTGACAAACCCAAGGGCAAGAAGTAAAAAGGCACAGACCTGATGTTACCAAACCACATGGCAGGCCATTAACTGAAGTCCACTGAAAGTCACGAGATCGGCAGAGCATGGCAGGCTACTGAATGAAGACTCAGCTACATGCAGGGTTCAAGTTTGCCAAAAAGCTGGAGACCTTCCTTAAAGTTACTTCTTATACACAAGAAGCAGACCATATCCCTAAAGCAGCTACTCAGCTTCCAATAGATTCCACCATGCAGTTAATTACCAATCTCACCATGAGAATAACTACATCCAGCTGCCCAGTCAGTCAGCCAGGCCCAGCCAAGTTGACACACAAACTTAACTACCACACACCATAAATGAACAAACTCCACAGACAACCTTTTTTCTCAAACTGAAATAATGATGTGTACAGTGGTGAATCAAATGAATTAAGTAGTCATATAATATTTGTCCACCACTCATCTGCCAGTTTTTCATACTGTGATTTGCATGTGACTCTGATGCTGAAAGCTATTCCACTAGTATTTCAATACCAGCGAGGGCTCTGGTAACAAAGTGCCTAAGGCCTTTGACTGCTAACCAGAAGGCTGGCTGTTGAAACCCACCAGCCACTCCTCGGAAGGAAGGTTGGGCAATCTACTTCCATAGTGATACTGCCTTGGCAACCGAAGGAGGGGTCGCTATGAGTCAGGTCCAACTTGACGGCACATAACCACAACACAACAACAACGGGGTCACATATGCTGGACTGGTTTCAACAGTTTCCAGACAAAGACAGACTAGAAGAAGGACATGTCCATGTCCACTTATGGAGAAATTGGTCACTGAAAACCTCATGGATATCAGGGAAACATTGTCTGATATAATGCCAGAAGATGAGACTCTCAGGTGGGAAGGTATTCAATATATGACAGGGGAAGAGCTGCCTCCTCAAAGTAGAGTCAACCTTAATGACTTGGATAAAGTAAAGCTTTGGGACCTTCATTTGCTGATGTGGCATGCCCTGAAATTAGAAGAAACAGCTGCAAACATCCATTAATAATTGAAACATGAAATGTATGAACTATGAATCTAGGTAAATTGGAAGTTGTCAAAAATGAAATGGAGTACTTCAAGATTGATAGGGTTTGGTGAGCTGAAAGGGACTGGTATTGGTCATTGTGAATCAATCATATAGTCTTCTTTGCTGGGAATGAAAATCAAAGAGGAATGGCATCACATTTTTCATCAAAAAGAACATTTTAAAATCTATCTTGCAGTGCAATACTGTTAGTGATAGGATAATATCGATATCCCTATAAGGAAGACCAATTAATATAACTCTTATTCAAGTTTATATACTAACTGCTAATGCCACAGGTGAAGAAACTGGATTCTTATCAACTTGAGTGCTCTGAAATTGACCAAACATGCAATCAAGAAGTATTGATAATTACTGGTGACTGGAATATGAAAGTCAGAAACAAAGAGTAAACATTGGTGGTTGGAAAATATGGCCTTCATGATAGAAATGATGCCATAAATTGCATGATAGAATTTCATATGATCAATGATTTATTCATTGTAAATATAGTTTTTAAACAACATAAATGGCAACTATAAACATGGAACTAGCCAGATGGAATAAACAGGTATCAAATCAACTATATCTATGGAAAGATACAATTGAGGAGCTCAATATCATCAGTCTCAGAAGTAAAATTTTGCTGAAGATAATTAAAAAAGTGGTTGCAGCAGTACATTATAGGAAACTGCCAGAAATTTAAGCCACATCTGAAGAGGGCGTGGGATGAGGGATATTGTTGCTGATGTTGGATTGACATTAGCTGAAAGCAAATAATACCAGAAAGTTGTTTACCTGTGTTTTATTGACTATGCAAAGGCATTTGACTGTGTGGATTCTAACAAATTATGTGTAGTATTGAGAAGAATGGGAATTCCAGAACACTTAATCGTGTTCATGGGGAATCTGTGTATAGAATAAGAAGCAGTAGTTTGAGTAGAACAAGTGTATATTATGTGGTTTACAATTAGGAAATGTGTGCATCAGGGTTGTATCCTATCCCCATACTTATTCCATCTGTATGCTAAGCAAATAATCCAGGAAGCTGGACTATATGAAGAAGAACCTGGCAGCAGAGTTAGGGGAAGACTAATTAACAAACTAAAAAATGCAGAAGACACACCTTACCTGCTGAAAGTGAAAAAGACTTAAAATCTTTACTGACAAAGAACAAAGATTACAGCCTTCAGTATGGATTAGATCTCAATATAAAGAAGACAAAAATCCTCACAAATGGACCAATAAACAACATCATGAGAAATGGAGAAAAGATTTAAATTGCCAAGATTTTATTTTACTTAGATCCACAATCAGGTAATGGAAGCAGCAATCAATAAATCAAATGTTGTATTGCAGTGGGCAAATTTGCTGCAAACAACCTCTTAAAGTGTTTTAGAGCAAAATGTCACTTTGAGGACTAAGGTGCGCCTGAGCCAAATATGGTATTTTCAATAGTCTCATATTCATGTGAAAGCTGGACAATGAATAAGGAAGGCCCCAGAAGAACTGATGCCTTTGAAATGTCGTGTTGATGAAGAATATTGAAGGTACTATGGACTGCGAGAAGAACAAACAGATCTGTCTGGGAGGATGTACAGCCGATATGCTCTTTAGAAGTGAAAATGGGCAGACTTTGTCCTCTCACATTTTGGTCATGTTGTCAGAAGGGACCAATCCCTGGAGATGGTTATCACTGTAGGTGAAGTAGTGGGTCATCAAAAAAGAGGAGGACCCTCAAAGGATGGATTGACATAGTGACTGCAATGACTGGCTCATGCATAGCAACGATTCTGAAGATGGTGCAGGACTGGGCTGTGGTTTGTTCTGTTGTTCATAGGGTTGGTATAAGTCCAAACTGACTTGATGGCACCTAATAACAACAATAATTTTTTGTAGTGTGTCCTCTAAATGCTTGGAGAAAGACTTTGCAAGGTTGTTCCTTGACCCCCATTATAAATATAGGAAAACAAAAGATGATTTGTTCAAGAGCCCAATCTGAAAAATTAACAAAGTCAAAACCCTCTCTTTTTACAGTAACACTACTTTTCTAAATGTTTCCACCTAGTTTTGCTTTGATACAACATACACATGTTAATGTTAATCATTTTCACCTACTAAGACATCATTTTTTTCAATGTTTTATTTTCTCATTTCAGTTTCTGACTCATTAAAAAAGTAAAACTCGAAAAGAAAAAAACTGGAATAAGTTACTGGCATTAACTTTTCCAGAGACCAAAGTTTTCATGATTTTCTAAATATTTAAGTTCTAGATGAATTATATGCTTGTCTTAGATACTATATGCTTACTCTGTAATACATATATGAATTATAATTATACATTTTAGAAAGAGTTCCATAAAAATAGTCGTTATTGTTGTTATGTGCCATCGAGTTGGACCCAACTCACAGTGACCCCCTCCTTGGAGTTTCGAGGTAGTATCACTAAGGAAGTAGATTGCCCAACCTATCTTCCAAGGAATGGCTGGTGGGTTTGAACCTCTAGACTTCTGGTTAGCAGTCAAGTGCCTTAGGCACTACGGCCACCAGAGTTCCTTAAAAATAGTTAAGAAAACAAAATATAATCTGCTTTAACCATTCAGCTTCAATTAGTCTAATGCAAATTTTCTCCTTTCTTAACAGTACCATTTTAGAAATGTTTCCATAAACATGAATATAGTAGTGTTTTAAAATGTGTTTTTATATCTACAAAGGTATAGTATTTGCAATCCAGTTATTCATACTTAATTAAGATATTAGTAAAGTATCTCTTGTTATACCATAGACAGCACTTAAAGGCATGAGAGATGATAAATAAATAGCTTCCTGATTTTGTTGATCCTTAACACCGAGATTTACTATCTCCATCAGTAGCCGTTCTCTGGAGAGATTAAACCAAGCATAAGAATAAGTGAGGAAACCAAAAAGATTTTAAGGGGTGGGGTTGAGAATGATTTTAAATATTTGAAATGAGATGGATTTTAATATAAATTTTGTTCTCTACTAAAAAAAGAAAGATACTTTTATTGTCATAGATCTTTTCTTCTAGTTTACCAAGTATAAAATAAGATGATTCACTGCTTCATTCAAAGAGATTATTAAAGATATTAGCACTTTTTGTATAGAAAGATATTAGTGCTTTTAGAGCTTCAGCTGACTTCATTTGCAACAGGCCATTCAGTAATGGAAAATAAAATTTAAAACCTTAATGCCATTATTAGTTTTGCTTTTTATTGATTTATTCTAGATCTACACATGCATTATGCGGTATTTCTAAAATGAAAATATAGTTTAGTACATAAAAAAGCTAACAATCTTAGAAACAAAGATTATTAAAACAGACAAGCACACAAATTGTTTTGGAATACCTGGTTTCAAATCCCCATGGACAAATATGTCAATCATATACCGACAGAATGCATACTGATCTGACGGAGTAGAAAGAAAAAGAGCAATGAGAACATGTCATCAACACCTTTCTCTTATCTAGGGAGAAATGGTTTAACAAAACAGATAAGTAACATAGTACAATTCTATTTTGGTTCTTTTAATATTTTCTGTGAAGGAATGATTTGCACTCATATGAACACACAAGGAAAAAAAAAAAGACATAAATGTAAGGCTACATTAACATTTCATACAAAAAGAAGAATCTTAAAAATTGAAACAGACCAATTCAGGGTAATATTGTATGGCTGCTTTTAAGAATCAAAAGTTTTTTCAAGTTTATTATAAAAGTCATCATATTAAAGCAACTTCTCTCCTTATCCTTTCTTATACTTCCAAAAATGAAACAGAAGTTCTATAAAAGGAACTGATTTCCAACTTGGAATGTCTTATAAAATATTCACTCTTAGTTTCTCTGCTAATTGTCTAAATGGAACTGGAGAATATTTTCCAGAAAAGGCCAGCAGGAAGGCTAACCCTTTGCAGCCTGGCAGAGGAACTATGCTCTTTAATTGGAATAGTTAATCAGAGACAACAAATGCACAGTGCCAACTGATAACACAGCTAGGCTAATTAATTGAGTAATCTTTATAAGGAGATCATCTTATGGTCTTGACTAGTTTATTGTCTATGAAAAAAAGTCAAAAAAAAATAGGTTAGAATATGAGCATTTGAGAGAGATTAGTCAGAAATTACTCAAGATTTTGTATCATCTTTCTCCTCTAAATTAAAAGCATTTCATTGAAATTTAAATTCTCATAAAATTTAAATTCTACTGAAATCACTCCATCCAAATCTCAGTCAAGGAATCATTCTACAAGTTTTAGCATATCTTATTATATGTTTATATAAAATTTACGTTGTTTTTGTTGTTGAGAATATGCATAGCAGAACATACACCAATTCAACATTTCTACATGTACAATTCAGTGACATTGTTCACATTCTTTGAGTCCTGCAACCACTCCCACACTCCTTTTCTGAGTTGTTCCTCCTCCATTAACATAATCTCACTGCCTTCTAAATTAGCTTTCTAAAATCTTCCAAGTTTCTGTTGTCAACTTGATCCCACATAGATAGGTTTTAAAAGACTACAATTTTCAATTTAGACATTCTTCACTAGTTAAGTTAAACTACCACTTGATTTTAAGAAAATTTTAGAGGCTATTTTTGGTTTACAATGATCTCAGTATACTAGTTTCAGGGAGTCAACCAGTTGCCATGGCTCCAGAAATGACAGATTCCATGATAATTTAAAAGTCTCTTCTACCTTTTCCCCCTTTTGATCAGGGTTCTTCTATAGAAACTTTGATCAAAATATTCAATAATTACCCATGTATCTTTTTTACAGTATATTGTTTTTGTGTGCCACTGAGTCAATTCTGATTTATAGTGTCCGTGTATAACAGAATAGAATGGTGCCATAGGGTTTCCTAGTCAGTTTACGAAGCAGACTACCACATCTTTTTTTTTTTTTTTTTGGGGGGGGTTCAAACCACCGAACTTTCAGTTAGCAGGAGAGTTAACCATTGTGTCATCAGGGCTCCTTTTTTTAAAGTTTGCATATTATGAAATGAGTGTTTTCAAGGTTATTTACATTTTATTATACTCCCAGTATAGATATTATATTAACTCAACAAATCCAAAGACAATTTTAGGAAAAAGAGATTTTATTGAATTTATGCAACAAGCTTGTATTTGCTCCATATCATTTATATCAAGTATATGAAATAATAAAACTTAAGTTACTATATAAATACACATTCAAGGATTTTCTTTAAACCTCATTCTTTTTAGAGTATGAACACTTTATGATAAGACTATGCAAGGTCCTTGAAAAAGTAACTATAGTAGATTAAAAAAAAAATATTTCCATTAATGATAATATGGATAGGCCAAAACCCATAAATTACAAAAGCTTTGCTTTTTGAAATTGGAATACATTTTTTCTCACAGATGAAGTGGGGATTAGGATGTGAACTAGTCCTCAGATTAGTACATAAACCTACTTGCCCCATGATACATGAAATAGCCAAAGCTTCTGATGCCAGGACCTATGGTATAGGAGAGAAATAGTATGAAAAGTAGAGGGAAATTTGTTTCCTGGACAAGATCATTTTCATTATCAAAATTCCTACAGTGAATAATTGGACTCCCAAACAAAGTAAAATGAATAGATAGATAGACAGACCGATAGACAGAGTCCATCATCCAAAAGCCCATGAGAGCAGCAGTCAAGAAACCAAACAATGTATGGCATTGGGAAAATTTGCTGCAAAAGACCTCTTTAAAGTGTTAAAAAGCAAAGATGTCACCTTGAGGACCAAGTGTGCCTGACCCAAGCCATGGTATTTTCAATATGCATGAAAAAGCTAGACAATGAGTGAATAAGGAATTTCAAAGACGTATTGATGACTTTGAATTATGCTGTTGGTGAAGAATACTGAAAACACCATGGACTGCCAGTAGAATGAACAAACCTGTCCTAGAAGACGTATAGCCAGAACGCTCCATTGAGAATGGCCAGACTTCATCTCACGTCATTTGATCATATTGGTAGAAGGTACCATTCCCTGGAGTAAGATATCATGAATGGTAAAGTGGAAGGTCAGAGAAAAAGAGGAAGATGCTCAATGAGATGGCCTGAGACACGTGGCTGCAGTGATGGGCTCAAGCTCAAGGACTGTGAGGATGGCTCAGGACCAGGCATTGTTTCATTCTGTTGCACATTGGGTTTCTACAAGTCAGAGCTGACTGCAGGCATCTAACAACAACAACAACTAGAAGAATGAATATATCTGTCTTGGAAGAAATTAGGATGGTAAAATTTTGTCTCACATATTTTGTCTGTGTTATCAGAAGGGAGCAGTCCTTGAAGAAGGACATCAAGCTTAGTAAAGTAGAGGGTCACAGAAAAAGAGGAAGACCCTCAATGGAATGGACTGACACACATGGCTGTAACAATAGGTTTAAACATAGAAAAGATTGTGAGGGTGGCACAGGTCTGGGAAGTGTTTTGTTCTGTTTTACGTAGGGTCTCTGAGTCAGAACCAACTTTACAACACCTAACATCAACAAAAACAATCACCAAAAAAGAATGATTCCATGGATCTGGGCTCTGAGAATGTGCATTTTTAACACTTCTAGAGTCTAATTAGATCACATTTGCAGAATCACTCCTCTAAAATCTCCAGATTTTCTATTTTTTCTACAATGATTCCCCTTGTGGCATGATAGCCTCCAGCCAGAGCAATGGAGGGATTTTTTGTTTGTTTGTTTGTTTTTAAATGTATGTCAGTAGTTTAGAAGGCAGAGATTATTTGTAATATGAAGGGTTTAGGCAACTCTCTCCAAAATATTATCATCTATGTGATGGGATGCTTATAAACATAACATGTTGAAATGTATATTGACTTAACTAAAATCTTTATGCTCCAGTTTCTTCTTTAACTGAATATTGACAATGTAATAAATGTGTTTAGGATAAAAGTAGTTAGCCTTTACTTTGAAATCCTACAAAATTCAAAGTACTCCTGCTTGAATTTATTATACCAATATTTCTGGATCAAAAACTCATTCACTTAATTAACACACAAACAGACTCAACAGCAGTGCGTAGTTCAATGAACTCCCAATTTAAGAATAGGAAATCCTTTATGAGTTGAAAGTCTATATAATCGTTCTTTAATCTAGAAAATTATTTGAGTTACAACACTAAGGAGGTTTCCGTTATTTGTAAATGATGATATGATCTTCCACTCTAATGGCACCAACACATCAACAGTAACATAAGAAGAATATTTTAAAAAATATATTGAAATAAGATTTTTCAAATATCTTAAGATGCTCATTTTTACCTGTCCTTAGTGTTGAGCTTAAACCCAAAACTAAACCAAACCTATTGCCTTCAAGTCAATTCTGATTCATAAAAACCCTAGAAGGCAGAGTAAAACTGCCCTATAGGTTGGCCAAGGCTGTAAATCTTTACCCTCATCTTTCTCCAATGGGACGGTTGTTGGATTTGAACTGCTAACCTTTCAGTTAGCAGCCAAGCACTTTAACCACTGCACCACAAGGCTCCCTAGCAATGTATAAGCATTCTAGGCAGGTGTGTATTGGGCAGCCTTATGAGCATCTTCCTTGCTTATCTAAAGACAAAACAAAAATCCAGCTTTCCTGATTATAGATGACTCATTGGGTAGAAATATGTCTAAAAACAAAAAACAAAAGAAGTCAACAATTACAATATGGCACTTTTTATCAAGAAAACCTGAACAATGAGTGATTCTCATTTTCCTGGTTAAAAAACCAAAAAACCAAACTCACTGCTATCAAGTCAGATCTGACTCATAGCGACCCCTCCTTGGGTTTCTGAGGTGGTATCACTATGGAAATAGATTGCCCAATCTTCCTTCTGAGGAGTGGTTAGTGGGTTTGAACCATCAGCCTTCTAGTTAGCCGTGACATGCCTTAGGCACTATGCCACCAGAGTTCCCACTTTTCTGGTTATGAGGTAATAATATACATAAAGTAATTTCATATTTGGTCATCACTTCTTGGTATTTCTTTCCCAAATGGACCTTCTTCAAATAAAAAACACTATCAGTTTCTTCCCTTCTTGATCCCCAGGGAGCAGTGATGGATGCCATTTAACTGCCACATTTCCAGTGTTCCCAGTAGAGTGGCAGTGGAAAAAAAATGCACTCCAGGCTCATAATGTCAATAGAGAAGGAAAAAAGAAAAGAGAAGAAATGCCTTGTGATGAGGATGGGGCACATGTATTCTATGGCTGATTCTCTGTCTGCCACAACTATTGAAATAGTTGTAAAAAAAAATAACAATTTACAAAAGAGAGAAATAAATTTAAAAAATGTAAAAATCAATAAAGTATGTAGAAGCGGGTAGGAGGTCTCTTTTTCCTTCCTCACGTATTTGTCACAAATCATCAGAAAATAAAGGAGCATTGCCTGATCTCACCTTACTTCTGCCGTAAAACAGATTTTGATTGCTTGGCAAAAACTGGATTATATGATATATAAGCATGTATGTAAGTTTATGGGAGGCATGTACATATATATGCACTGTGTTCTCAATATTTTCAGTAGATATATATTGTTGCTATATATAATATTTAGAGTAGCCCCAAATGTATGCATTTTCATGGGTACTATATATATCAGAAACCCAAGGAGGGGTCACTATGAATCAAACTGACTCCATGACAGTGAGTTTGTTTTGAGGCTATATAGTTATGTAATTGTCAGTTAGTGTGTGTACTCCATGTAAAACTCTGCTCCTGAGTGAGTGTAGTTTTCTGCGAAAGATCTGTGAATCACTAACTTAAAAATAATTTTTTTAAAAAAAATAGTATACTTTTGTCTTGCTTCTTGTTGTTGTTGTTATATGTTGTCGAGTCGGACCCGACTCACAGTGACCCCTCCTTGAGTTTCCGAGACAGTATCACGATGGAAGAAAATTGCCCAACCTGCCCTCTGAGGATCAGTTGGTGGTTTTGAACCACCAGCATTGTGGTTAGCAGTCAAGTGCCTTAGGCACTATGCTACCAGACCTTTCTTGCTTAGATATTAATAAAATGATATTGTTAGGTATTTGTTTAATTGCTTTAGAAAATTAACAGATGTATTTGTTTGGCCAGTTCTAAGAGTTTAAGTTGATTATTTACTTAATGATACCTTTAATTAATTGGTAGCTATTCTCAATGAAGGAACTCTCGAGTTGCAATGTTTGAATGATCTGCTGCAACCAGAAAGGTCAGCAACTGAAACCCATCAGAGGCTCTTCAGGAAGAGAACCTGTCAATCTACTCCACTGAAGATTACAGGCTAAGATAGCCTGTGGAGCATGTCTACTCTGGCCTACTGGGTCACTGTCAGTCAGAATCGTCAGGAAGGCACACAATAAAAACAACAACATTCTTAATAAAGGAGCTCTGAGATCACAGCAGGTAATGGTTCGGCTGTTAACTAAAAGGTTGGCCATTCTTACACACCTAGTAGCTCAGATCTGCTCAGCTATGAACTTCTCTAAAAGTTATAGGCAAGAAAACCCTATGCGACAATTCTACTCTTCATATGGGGTCACTAGGGGAATTGACTGGAAGGCACCTAACAGCAGCGGGTATTCTCAATAGGGACGGTGGCTTTAGCAATTGCATTTGTTTAACTGATAAAATCACATTTGTGCTTTTGTTGTCTACTAAATTATATTAAATGTCCTTTTATTAGATAAACAGCTCTTCATGTGGAAATCAAACCAGTAAATTAAAAATGAAAATGGAAATATAATGCTATCTTTAGTAATTTTCTGATTACTGATGGGAATCAGATACAATAGATGTGTCCTGGAAAATAAATACTATTTGAAAGTGTTCTGGAGATTTGTCTTCCTCAATAAAATATGATTAAAAAAATGAAAAAAATATATTAAAATTAACATTAAAAATACGTTTATTTCCTAGTTTTCTGACAGGTATTTTGATATCCCTACATGTAATGGCATACATTTTTGCATATTGCATTTATGGACCAAAAATAAAAATATTCTTGGCATATTTCAACTGATTTCATATGATTATTTTTCTTTTTTAAAGGCCGATTGAAAATGCAAATTTTCTTAAAGTTTTGAAATTTCTTTTAAATAATCAGTGATTAAGAAGATTAATTTTTCTATTGCTTTCTACCATGGTAAAATATTCATTAAGATGTTATCTTTATTATATCATTTTTCCTACTCAAAATATTTCATAGGTGGCACAGTTGTAAGACAGGCAATAATTAAAATTTACATTTTTTTCCAGATAATATAATAATCTTGAACATTGAAGAAACAGTATTCTAAAACACTCACATCCAAAACAAGCAAACAAAAAATGTGAGAAAATTAAATTTACCTAAATTTAAAAGCTATGGATGATTAACTTTTTTTTTAATTTTCCTTTCCTTTTACTTCTTTTCCTTTCTTTTTAAAATACACTTAAATAGTTTTTGTTGTGACATAGATAAAATTTTATAATCATTTCTTACAAATTTAATATAAAGAAAAGTGTTTTAAGGGTCAAATATAAGAGTGGATTACAGATTTTACACTTTGTACATCATAAAGGGGAAAATGTATTTCAGTGTCATTGTCCAAATAGCTTACTCAATGATAGTTTTTACATTTCTTTAACTAAAAACACATAAAAATAAATTATTTGATTTTAGCCCATTAATAAAATTATTCAAAACTACAACCCTATCAAAACCATATCAAGGGGGAAATTTGTTTTACAATGCTCTAAGAAACATTATTATAGGAATAATCCCTACATTTAGATCCCCACATTTTCAATGGCATCCTCAGGATGGTGTAGCAACCTGGAACCAGGATTGGACATGTAGAAGGAAATATTCAACAAGGGCCCAGATGTGCTGCTCTCCTAAAACTCCAACCCTGTATATTTACACAGCACCTTTCCATAATGAATTTCAAGTTTATATTCCACCTCCATTTAAATGCTGTACAGGTATGTCCTGGGTTACAAATATCCAACTAATGTACAACCCATAGTTATTAACTAACCCCCATAAACCCTATTATACTAAAAATTTGAGGTGCATACAATGGTTTGCAATAATAAACAGATGTCACTTGGAGACACCCACCAAAATATTATTGCTATTATTGTTTTATGATGTTGAAGATGTTTTAGGGTCTCCAGGAGTGGTTCTTTTGTGTTTCTTATGCATAGAAAGGTACACTATAATACTATATACCAAGACAAATTTTGACTGACATTACATATGAACCATACCTAATTGTTCCAACTTAAATACAAATTCAATTTAAAGGTAGATTTAGGAATGGGACTCATTCAAAATCTGGGGAATGCCTGTATTTCTGCGAAGTGGGGACACAAGTTTGACATCACTATCATTGAAGAGTAGCACAACACGTTAGATACTGAGATTTCTAAAGTTACAAACTTTGTCAAAGGAAGAGTACTTTCCCTGTAACAACTTGCTTATTAATTCAAATTAATTTAAACATCCTAATTTTAAATTAATTTAAAAATTAATTTAAACATATTTTCTGTGGAGCTCTTGAAGTATACTGATTAAAGCATTTGGTTGCTAACCCATAGGTCAGTGGTTCAAATTTATCAGCCCCTCCATGAGAGAAGGCAGTCTGCTCCTTCTGTAAAGATTTGCAACCTCATAAACCCTCTGGGGCAGTTCCGCTCTGTCCTATAGGGTTGCTATGAGTTGAAATTGACTCAATGGCAGTAGGCTTTGTGGGGGATTATTTATTTTCTAATTAATGTGTTCTTGCAGAGCCAATAGGAATGTATAGACTTTTGCTATGATATTTATTGGGAGCTCTGGTAGCATAGTGGCTAAGGCACTTGACTGCTAACCAGA